AATGAAAAAAGTGTAATCAAGGAAGGATTTGGAGGAAAAGGCTGTCTATGTGAACAAATAATAAATAATCCAGTTTGTTACACATTTCATGTATTTAACCATGACTCATCAGTTACCAATCTTACTCCACCAGTGTTATAACAAAAGATATTTTAACAAATATCCTTTTATATGATATCAGCTTTACCTTTAATTAGTTTATTGGAAAAGAGAACACTTTATGTGTGTATGTGGGGGCACAGAAGTAGTGACACCACTGTGAGTCATTCCACAACGCACAATTACCCTCAGAAAAGGCAGAGAATCCTCTAGCACAAATACACTAAATCTGAAAACAATATTCAGCTTCAAGGTAGCTTTACTTGTCAAATATGGAATTTATGTAAAATGCCTTCCATTTAGTGGTTTGTATCATTATGTTCATTTTTATAGGCTACATAAGGTTCAGATCACAACTCAGTCTTTAGTATTTTGAAGACTTATGCATTCTTGGTGCATGTAAGTACAGTAACAGAGGCTGGCTAGGCATATTAAATTAGAATGTGAGCCATTATGTGCAGTTATTTGAAACCTTCACAAACACTAGAACCATGCTATGAGGCTGAAATAACCCTTTTGTTGCAAGGTATATAAAATACTTAATTTTAAGGCTAACATCGCTTAAAGTGCTCAGAAATCTCCATTTATGGCCAATTTCCTTTTTAACAGATTTATATCATACAAGATAAAACAGCTGAAGCTGAAAACCAAAGGGATGCAGTAAGTTTTCTGTGCCTCACTATCCGATTGCTTATATTCAGTTACAGACTCACCCCTGCCCAAACCATCATAGCAGGCTTTTTAAATAGAGAAAAGTAAAAGGCAGGGGGTGGCAGTGGGAACCTCTGCTCTATTTATCAGAACTGCTACAGACTGATTGTTAGTATAAGTTAAATCAACATTCAGAATGCCTATGGAAATTTAGGATGGTCTTCTCCCAAGTCACATACAATACGTTCCAATTCTCCCAAAGGACAATTCCCCATTCCTCTCTCCAAAGTCAACTTCTGATAATTCTCCTATAAACTGAAGCATATGGAATGTGAAAGGAGTAATGTCATGTCAAGGCCCTGGATGCTTTAAACCAATGAAGCCCCGTATTGTCAAAAATACATCAGGAATCATTTGTAACAAAGAAATCCAGGCAAGAGAGGAAGTTTTACATTTACATACATAGGAAACTTATTTCTTCTTGCTTTCAAGTTACAAGTCCCAAGTGCTTAACAGTCACGGTACAGTTTCTCCATCCCCGAAATGTCTAAATACAAAATCTGTTTCACAGCTTGAAGTCATAATGATTTGTTTCCCCATGAAAAGAATAAAGAGAAAAGACGACATTCCTCTATATAAGGAAGATAACTCCAAACTGAGTAAAAACTGTAACCGACGGTTTACGAGAATGAAATTAGAAACATTGCCTAATAACTTTTCTGTACACAAAATCAAAGTTGAGATATTAATAATTATTAAGAGAATAAAGAAAACAATGCAGTAAATATGAATAACTAAGCAAATATTTTAACATAATTAAGACTATACCTGGATAATCTCCACAAGTCTGCAGAGTACATAAACACTCATGACATAATGCCCAGAGTTCATAGTCTTTCAGAGGTTTACCATACCAGGACAACAGGATTTTTAGAGAGATCCACTGAAATAAAAAGAGTGAGGATGCAGCAAGTTATTAAAAATTATCACAAACAAAAAATGTTTACTGATGCAATGAAAAAGTAAATCTTAATATACAACACACTCACCTAAAAAGCATTAAGAAAAGGTATTTATTGCACTTGCCAGTAATGAACTAACAATACTTCTTAATGAAAGTATTATATATATTAGTATTATACA